AAAAGCAGGTGCATCCTCTGGTGCTCCGTTTCGTGGCTCTGGAACCTGTCCAGCAACGCCCGACGCAACTGGCTCCAACTGTCCAGCCTGTGCTGCTGAACGTGGACCCAGTACCACTTCAACGCCCGGTCCGTCAGCAAGGTGTGGAAGTTACGCAGAACTTCAGTCCACGGGCAACGAGTTTGGCGTTGGAGGTCTCCAGCCGAAACACGAATCCTTCGAAGTGGTTCCTCTCGTCCTCGCCGCTGAACGTGATGTTCCACCGGTCCACTCGGGCGTAATGGGAACTGCCTCCCGCGTCCCAGTTGGCGTACTCCCGCTCGTCCCGGAACTCTCCGGCTCGGCGATCCTTCACGCGCCAGCTCCTGCCTCCGCCGTCATCCCGCGGCCTCTCTTCCGCCTCAGTGGACCATCCTGGGCTGCTGCTGGTCAACTCCAATGGATCAGGCGCCCTCGTTGGCGGCTTCGGTGGCACACGTGGCGGTGTCCTTGCCGCTTGCCCACTGGCCGTTTGGTGGCTCCGCGGTATGGCTCCACGAGCGCCCTGGGGTCCCTCCGTCGGTCGTCCCCTCGGAAACGGCTGCTGTGGCCGTGCTTCTGGGAACGGCTGCTGTTGCTGCTGGGCTGGCGTCCGCAGCGGCTCCTGCTGGTGAGTAACTGCCGGCCTCAGCACCTGATTCATTAACTGCATAATTTCCAGGAAGCCCGCCCGCAGCTCTTCTCGCAACCCTTGACAGATTCCCGCCTCTTGGGACTTGCGGGCGAGGTTCACTGCCGACTGGATCGTCGAGTCCACTGGTGGATCCTGAAAATGCACCGCCTTCGGAGCGGAATCCATCTGCAACAGCTGGTCAGCTGCTGCCCCGATCGCCTCGAATTCCAGCGACTTCCCCTGGTTCGTCTCCTCTGGCTGTTCTTCTGCCCGTCGTCGCGGTGGCGTCCTCGACAACCCCATTGAAATCCGCGGCGGCGCGTACCCCACAGCACCCTCCGCATCCGTGGACCACACTTCCTCTTCCTGGGCTGAAGGACCCTTCGACCTAAGCTGATACGTGTTTACTGTTTCCTCTGTCATTTATCATTCCTAAACACCTAACAAATTTATGACACTTACACAAATATCTAAACAAACCCCTAAAAAAACGATTCATAAACACCTAATACCGAATAAATAAATATATATGGTAAAATTAAATAAATAAATGTGCAATAAATAAGTAATAAATAAATAAATAATAACGATAATAATGATACAAATAAATACATAAAGCAATATAAATAAATAAATAAATAATCAAAAATAAATAAATAAATAAATAACAGAAGATAAATAAATAATTCAATAAATAATCAATTACCAAAATTAATATTTAAATTTCCATATATATAAATATGTACTCAGTTCACTGATTTTTCCTTTCTTTCTAAATTTCAGGGGGAGATGGAGCTGATCAACCGCCGGTGGACTCCGTGCCAGATTTCCTGCGTCTTACAATTGCCCAAGTCGTCCCTACTCCGGCCGCTCGTCAACTGAACTAACTTTCAGCTGAGCTGAAAGTCGCACATTAAGGACATCGGCCTTCGCAGCATCCCGTAGGATTTTTCTTAGCGAACGCGACTTGCGGTTCACCTTGTGGTGGTCGTGCAGCGCGCAGTAAATACTACGGGTCACGATACCACCTTCAAGGCAATTCCACAAGCCGCCCTCACCAGCAAAACCCAAGGATCTGTACCAAAAATTACGTTAACATGAAAACAATGGACTCTACGTTAATACATCAATACATTTATAAATAAATAACATGTACCCTATCTACTATATCACAGCTCATCATCGACCTAACTGTCATAGCGTGTGGACGTGTTTCATTTTTGTGCTCCTCAAAAAAAAAGTAAAAAAATTTGTTTTTTTTTTTCCTATAAAAATATTTTCGGTCTTCCGTTGAAAATTTGTTTTCCAAAATAGCGTCTTGTGAGTGTGTTTTGGGTCAACTTAGTGTACGTCTGCCTCTCGCTTTGCGCTTGCGCAAGCGGGAGGGTTAATAATGGATAATTCTTTTAAACTTAAAGATATGCGTAAGATTTCCTCTGCAGGCCCGGGCGAAGCTCAAAGCGACTTGTCTACCTTCTTAGACAGATTGGTAGATTCCAATGCCACCAATAAAAGCTCTCCTGCTGAGGTGTCAAGCTCTTCGGAATCAGATTTTGACATTAAAGCAAATGTGGCTGCTGTTCAAAAAAAAATGAGGGATACTTTAAACTGCCCTGTGAAAAAATTTAATGCTCTCTATGCCTCTCATTCTGAGATTGAAGCTGATCTTTCAGCTGAGAAACCAACCACCTCCCGTAAGGCAAGGGAGAAGGCTTCCCTCGTTAACGCTGCTACAAAACAAGCAAGTAAGAAGAACCAGCTCCCGAGTAAGGCGCTGACTAAATTGGACGCAGCTCAAGCTCTGGATGTAATTAAGTCCTCAGCACTCCCTCTGTGGAGAGGAGCCGCTCCTGGGGGACTCATTCAAAACCCCCAGCCGAGCTGGCAAACTGTCCCGGGCAGGCCTTCCTTCAAGAGGCGTGCTCCTGGAGCTGATCTATTATCCAGGAAGTTGAAAATCAGTAAACCCCAGATGGCGAATCGGTTCTCCCCCCTTTCTTCGTCAGACCTCGCACAGGATATGGATTGTGAGGATGAGGACGTCGTTGTGGAGGAGACTTCCTCTATGGCTGAACAAGTGGCTGCTGCTGCTCAGCCCCCCTGCTACCACCATCTACAAACCGAGGCCGATCACTGTTCCCAATGTGAATAACATTGTAGAAATGGAGAAGGTGCTCCTGCAGGAGATTGAGGAAGATGGTTTTGAGCTGCGCACTGCCCGCTCTGGAGACTTGCGCATATATGCCAAGGACTCCACCACCCACAGAGCCATTACCCGGCTCCTGTCTGCTAACAATGTCATCTACACGCATTTTTGCTTGAAAGAGGACAGGAGCTTCCGTTTAGTCCTCAAAAACCTGGCTGCTACTACACCGCAGAGCCTTATTATTCAGGAATTTACAAAATTGGGGCATACAGTTGTGAATCTCTACAACCCCCCGTCTAGAACAAGAAGCTCTGGAACTCAAGAAAAATCATCGGACCAGGCGAGGTTTGCTGGTTTGTGGACCTTAAGCAGGCCCCTAATAATAAAGAAGCGCTATTGATTGCTAAGATTGGCAGGCAGAGGGTTACAGCTGAATTAAAAAGGGATAGCAACAGGCTGAAACAATGCTTTCGATGCTTCGGATTTAATCACACCAAGAACTATTGCCTTAAACCACCAGTCTGCGGAAGGTGTGGAGACAGTCACTGGACGGGCTCTGAGGCCTGTAAGGCAGTCATCGCAGCGGATCTCTGCTGTGCTAACTGCGGAGAAGGCCATGCGGCATATGACAAAAAATGCCGTATCTTTGCATCTTTGCTTAAGAGAGTCCTCCCCAGAGAGAATTTGCCATTTAACAACTCAGGGAGAGGTGCCCGCAGACGTGATACTGCAATACCGTCGGCAATGCTTCAACCAGGGTTGTCGTATGCCCAACGGACGAGAGCCCAGCAGCAACAACCAGCCGCGCATACGGCCGCCTTTGAACTTCCTCCTGGATTCAGGCAGGCAAGCTATAACCTGCAGGACGACTTCCCAGTGCTAGGAAGCCGAGGCAGGTCTCATAATACTACAGCGCCACCCAACCCAGACTCTGATTGGGACATGACGAGGATAGTGACCATGCTTACCAGCCTCAAGGCCACTGTGGACCAATTGGCTTCCTCCTTAGCTACGATATCTCTTGTTGTAAGAGAGCTGAAAAGAGGAATGCCAACTATCCATGGGGACCCTTAAAGTGGGTATATGGAATGCCAGAAGTCTCCTTGCTAATCGAGAGGAGGTTCTGGTGTACCTCTCAAGACATAGCATTGACATTATGCTTGTGTCTGAGACCTTCCTTAAACACGGAGTATTCTTCAACATTCCTGGGTACTTCCTCCATAGAGCTGACTTCCCTGGTGCTGTAACCAGAGGTGGAGCTGCGATTTTGGTCAGAAGTGGACTGACCTACTTTCAGCACAACCCGATACGCCTGGGATTGGCACAGATGGCGATGATCACTCTCAACTCGCCTTTTGGAGATCTGGATGTGGCAGCGGTCTACCTTCCCCCTCGCCCCACCTGGACATGTGATGGATTTGAGGCTCTGCTTAACCTTTGTGGAGATAAAGCCATCTTAGGAGGAGACTTCAACGCCAAGCACCGCAACTGGGGCAACTTCCGAGCTGACAGGCGAGGCACAATGCTGGTTGAGGCCCTGGATAACACGAACACACAAATCCTGGCCACTGGCAGACCTACGTGCTTTCCCTGCAACGGCAGAACCCCTTCTGCTCTGGATTTCGCCCTACTTAAAGGACTCCATGGACGTCGGCTGACTATTAATGAATCCTTTGAGCTTAGCTCGGATCATATCCCACTCATAGTCAACCTACACCTGCCAGGAAGCGCTTATGTGCCAAGAAGGACGCTCCTGCCCCCCGGATCTGACGTCAGGATGTTTAAAAGAACCTTGGAGGACTCAATACACCTGCATATGGAGATTAACTCTGCCGAGGACGTAGATGACGCTGCCATACTTCTGGAGGATAAAATCAAGGCTGCAGCAGAGCTCGCAATGCCCCCGGACAGAAGCCGCCACTCTGTGCCCCGCTTTTCTCTACCACCGGAAATCAGGGCACTGATTGACACCAAACACAGGCTCAGGAGGGAATACTCCAGGACGCATGAAGCCAGGGTGCTGAGGGTGTACCGAAGACTGGCACACCGGGTCAGGAAGTAGAGGTGCAGAAACATCGATGTTCGTGTCCATCGATGTTTTCGATGTTTAAAAAAAAAACATCGAGTGAAACATCGATGTTTAAAAAAAAAAAAAAAAAATGCAAAAAGAACAGAAACAGTACAAACAGTAACATGAGATTTATTTGAGATCAGTTAAAGTGTCTATTTTTATTTAGGAACAAAAGTTGATCAACAACTTCAGGTTTAAGCCGTGTCCTGCGGTCAGATATGGTTTGTCCAGCTAGGCTGAATACTCTTTCAGACTCACAGGACGAGGCTTGTACACAGAAAAATTTTTTTGCAACCAATTTCAGCTCGTTGTCAGCAGTCATCTGTAAAAAATATTTCTTATTTAACATGTTAGTCATAATTATTTAAAAATCATACCTCCCAATACTTCAAGGGGTCGCAAGTGTCAGGAATGTTTTCATTTTCCATAAATTGCCTTGTGGCATCGGCTCTGGTAGACTTTACCTTAGGCTTATTTTGCAAAAATGAAAATTTGCTGCTTGCCTCGTTTAAAGTTGATTCTGGTGTTGGTGGACGTCGTGGAGTTGTTGGCTCAAGAGAGAGCAATTCCAGCTCCAACGCTTCGGCTGCTTGTTCTGCGTTTGAACTTCGGAGAAAGCCATCTTTTTTGAAGCGAGGATCAATGAGAGTAGCGATGCGAGGAATTGTGTGCGTTTCAAAGGAATCAAGTCTTTCAACTAAGCGTTTTTGAACAACTACATATATTTTTTTTCCTTCCTGTGTTCGCAACTGTGCCTTTACTTGATTCATTTTATGATGAATCTCGGCAATGACTGGAATAATTAGCGACACAGACACTTTTGTGTTAGTCGACACCGAAAGAGTCGCTTCGTGAAAAGGCGACAGCAAATCCGACAAGTCATTCAAGACGTCGAGTTCTTCATTTGTGATCGGTGAAGGGCCATTTCGCAGTTTTAGCAAAGTCAAAGTTACATATTCATTTATTTGGAGTATTCTTTTTACCATGGCGTATGCACTGTTCCACCTAGTGCTCACTTCCTGAATTAAGAGAAGCGGCTCATTTGTATTTTGCGCTTCTTTTAATTTAGCTGTGGCTATTGTGCTATGCTTGAAGTATGTTACTATCCGTTTGCACTTTGAGATAATCACATTTACTGCTGCCAGTTTTAAAATGTCCTGAGCAAGCAGATTTATCGTGTGTGCCAAACAGGGTAAATGCTTGAATTCCAAAATATCGCACGCTTTTTTCATTGTACTATCATTGTCCGTTGTAACGGTGACAACCTTCGACAAAAGACCCCACTTAGCCAACATTAAACTTATTGAGTCTGCGATGTTTTGGGCGTTATGATTTGTGGGGGTCATCAAGGGTGCTGTCGATAGCAGTGCAGACGTCAATTTAAAGTTTTCTGTTATAAAATGACACGTGATTGTGATGTAGCCTTCGTTAGCTGCAGATGTCCATAGATCGGTTGTCAAACCAACATGCTTAACGGCCTCCAAAGCTGCACGCAACTTAAGGCTTAGCAGATCATATTCCGTTGGAAGCATCACATCGCGAAAATACGTTCTGCTCGGCAACTTGTAGCGCGGGACCGCTTCTTGCATGAGTTCGACAAATCCTTCGTCATGAACGCAACTAAACGGACGCACGTCTTTGACAATCATATCCATCACTTTTTTATCCAATCTTTTTTTTACATTTGAGTCACTGCCATAGAACGGCTCCTTGTTCAAAAAAGTTGCCATCGTTTTAGGCATTGGTTCCTTATCAGCGGTCATGCGACTCGGATGCAAGCGCTTAAGATGGTCAAGCAAGTTTGAGGTATTGCCAGCTGTCTTAAGATGTTTTCCACAATAGTTGCAAATGCCATACGCTTTGTCACTGCTCTTTTTGAAGTGGTCCCAAACAACCGATCGCTCTCTCTTACGTTTTTGTGCTGACTCCGTCTCCACTTCCTCTGTCGGTTCCAATCCTATTACACCAATAAATAAAAAAAGCATGTTACTAAATTGTATGTAATTTTCTATTCACTAAACAACATAACAAAACAAGAGCTACTTTATTTTAAGGCTTGCGTCAAATTTTTGCGGAATTAGTAGCCAATTTATGAATGTATGTGTGTACATACACATACATGCACACATATCTAAAGGAAGCGTGGACTTGTAAAGATATATAACTTACTTTTCAGGTAGTTCTCCATCCTGCCTTCGTCATCCATCAACGTCCACCAACACCATCAACTAGAAATCCTAAATATTATCAACAATTTTGTTAGTTTAAAAAAAAACAATAAGAAATTCATTTACTTACAATTTTTTCTCACCGAGCGCAGAGTTGTTTGTGAAAACATCGATGATGGTCACGAACCATCGATGGTTCCGATGTTTTGAAAACATCGATGTTATCGATGTTTCACTCGATGTTTCTGCACCTCTATCAGGAAGCTGCTGAGACTTCTACGTCAGGAGCGCATTGACAAGGAGCTCCAGGAGGCAACATCAGACAGGGACACGGACTACGCGCTTTGGAAACTTGCCGGGCAGAGTAAAAGGCAAGTAACCCCCAAGTTTCCTGTGAGAAAAGCGGATGGAAATTGGGCAAAGTCACCACAGGACCGAGCGGAAGCCTTCGCCGAAAGTCTGGAGGAGCGATTTACCCCTTTTGCAACATCCTCTCAGGAAAGGACGGAAAAGGTCCGTGCTTCTCTAGAAATACCTCACCAAATGACGCCTCCCATTTCACCGATCCTGCTTCCAGAAGTGCGGGCCAGGATCAGGAAGTTGAAGAACCGGAAGTCGCCAGGAGCGGATGGCATCACCAATAGAGTTGCTAAACTCCTTCCGGTTAAGGCACTCCTCTTCCTGGTCCTGGTATACAATGCTGCTTTAAGACTCGGACACTTCCCGCTCTCCTGGAAAAACGCAAACGTGGTAATGATCCACAAAAAGGGGAAATGCTGCAACAACGTAGCCAACTATAGACCGATCAGCCTCCTTCCCACGTTTGCCAAGGTGTTCGAGAGGTGCATACTTGACAGGATCCAGAGGCTACCTGAAGTCATCGAGGCGATACCAAGACACCAGTTCGGATTTCTGAAAGGACATGGTACTCCTGAACAGCTCCACCGAGTCGTCGATTTTATTGTCGAGGGGTATCAAAGGAACCAGTATGTCGTGGCTGCATTTCTCGATATTCAGCAGGCTTTCGACAGGGTCTGGCACGAGGGGCTTCTGTCCAAGATCAAAGAGCTCCTGCCACCACAGCTCTTTGAGATCATCTGCAGCTACCTCAAGGATAGGAGCTTCCAGGTGGTGCAGGATGGAGTTGCCTCCTCCACCAGGAATATCAGAGCTGGTGTCCCTCAAGGAAGCGTATTAGGACCCACGCTCTACAATCTATTCGCTCATGATGCCCCGCTTCATCTAAGCTCTGAGCGTGCGTGTGCTGCTACATATGCAGACGACACCGCAGTATTGGCTAGATCCAGCTGCATCTATAGTGCCACTGATAAACTTCAGATTCTCCTCAAGAGGTTTGAAAACTGGGCCTGTAGGTGGAATGTGGCCATCAATACGGAGAAGTGTGCGGTGGTCACATACACCCTGAAGCGAAGCACATGCCCAGGTGTCTTCCTTCACGGCCAGCTTCTGCCACAACTTGTGGAACACACATACCTGGGACTGGTGCTTGATAAGAGACTGACGTTCAGCACACATATCAAGCAGATTAGGGCTAAATTGGAAAACACTGCCAGGCGCATTAGCTGGCTCACAGGCCCTAAATCGAAGCTGAGCCTTAGGTGCAAGACTCGCCTGTACCAGTCCCTACTGGCACCGATTTGGCAATACGGAGTGGCTGTATATGGCACTGCAGCCAGATCGCATCTGCGAAGGATACAAGCCTTCCAAGCCAGATTCCTAAGGCGTATTACAGGTGCTGAGTGGTATATCAGGAACCGGGATATACGGACAGAGCTACATGTCCCTGCTGTGGGAGACTCCATAAACACCATTGCCGCCCGACACCGAACCAGGTTAATTCGACACCCCAACCCGCTGGCGAGAGCTCTGCCAGCTGCGAGAGGAAGACGACGACTTAGGGGAGTCATCATACGGGAGCTGCCCACCCGGCGAATAACCTAGTTAAATATTTTTTTGAATTGTTTCCTCTGCTACATATTATTGGACCAATGATTTAATAGTAGATATTAAGCTTAATGCAGCAAAGCTTTTAAAACCAATAAATATTATGCGAAAAAAAAAAAAAAAAAAAAAAAAATATCACAGCTTTTATTGTATCACAGTGTATCGCGTGCTTCTTGCACGGGTCTGTGCCCAAGGGATGCAAATCCGTCGTCTCACGCCCGGATGCCACCACCTCCGCACAGCAAAACAGCTGCGAGCTGTGACTGGGAGCAATTGTCCGCTTTTCTGCGGCACAAGCCTCCCGTCCTGACCAAAAAAAAAAAAACAAAGACATTTCCTAAATCAGGACCTACGCATTGACCACCAGTCCCCAGGTCATCGGTGCATTTGCAGACCGTAAAATAGGCCTCGCAAGCCACCGTTCGTGGGGGCTGGATGGTCCAGGACGTGGCCTGACGAGACGTCGTCTTCTCGCTATCCATATTTGTTTTTAATTGGGCGCCATATTGATACGGAACTGCTTTCTGCCAGGGCAATGCCGGGCTAGCTCAGAGTGGCCCAGGGTGGGTTCGACAATCGAATACCGACAAAATATCGGACGTCTCGACTAACACCTATCGCTGACAAACTCACATCCCTACATGAAAAAGGTAAACAAAGATTTGGACGACAAATTTGATGAATTGGTGGCTTAGATGTAGACGCCACGACGCACCCTCGCATCCAGTGATGCCTCCTGGTCATCTCGGGGCATCACCCATCCTCCGGCGGACCGGAGTCTTTTTCAGGCGGTCTGGCGACCGACTCATCTCCCCCAGGTAACAACGCTTACTCGGTGTTCATTGTTTTTTTAATACATTAATATTGTCGTTTTAGATGGCTAGTTACATGGCAGAGTACGCGCCTCCCAAATCCTCAACGTGGTCGCGACCCTAGCCAGAGATGCGTTCGCGCCAAGGCTGCCGCCAAAGGATCAAAAGAAGTGGCCAAGGAGAAATGGCCAACGACACACCGGCCAACAAATTACTCTACGTACCCCTTTCCTACCTCGGGTCCCTACTGGAGCTCCAAAAGAAACCACAAGGGTGGGTCACTCTAAAATTCCTCCTTCTTTTCACCCTAAGAATTTTTAATCCGCAGCACTTGTGTTGCACAAAACCCGGACACAAGGCACGAATACGCGGAGAAAAAGGTACGGCGAGAAGTGAGTCACAGAATATAACAAAAACTATTAACTTAGAACGAATAACTTAAATATTATAATTTTGTTGTTCTCTTGATGTTGGTGCATTCGCCGTCGCCGAGCGTTCGGTGGATTTTGGTCTGGGCGAGCCCCTCATTTCCCGAAACACCGGCACGAACATCCGGTCCCAGCACTCTTGCGCGCCAGCGGCCGCCAGCACAAGCCGCCATCAGGCGAAACCGGGAGCAACCGGCAAACCCGACGGAAACTGGAGGACAGCGGTGAGTCCGTTCCAATCCAAAATCGGCCGGCCCTAACCTAGGTGGTCGGATGATTCTTTGCCGCATACAGGGCACATATTCTCGCCGGCGATCCTGGCCGAAATCTTTCCGCCGCCAAGTCCTGGCCGTTATATGCCCCCATTCTGGCCATTGTTTTCAGCCGCCGGAAATATACGAGAAATAAAATTATAATATTTAAGTTATTCGTTCTAATTTAATAGTTTTTCTTATATTCTGTGACTCACTTGTCGCCGTACCTTTTTCTCCGCGTATTCGTGCCTTGTGTCCGGGATTTGTGCAACACAAGTGCTGCGGATTAAAAATTCTTAGGGTGAAAAGAAGGAGGAATTTTAGAGTGACCCACCCTTGTGGTTTCTTTTGGAGCTCCAGTAGGGACCCGAGGTAGGAAAGGGGTACGTAGAGTAATTTGTTGGCCGGTGTGTTGTTGGCCATTTCTCCTTGGCCACTTCTTTTGATCCTTTGGCGGCAGCCTTGGCGCGAGCGCATCTCTGGCTAGGGTCGCGACCACGTTGAGGATTTGGGAGGCGCGTACTCTGCCATGTAACTAGCCATCTAAAACGACAATATTAATGTATTAAAAAAACAATGAACACCGAGTAAGCGTTGTTACCTGTGGGAGATGAGTCGGTGGCCAGACCGCCTGGAATAGACTCCGGTCCGCCGGAGGATGGGTGATGCCCCGAGATGACCAGGAGGCATCACTGGATGGGAGGGTGCGTCGTGGCGTTGTAGCGCTTGCTCGGCCCAAAAGATACTTTGCTAGCGCCATCTAGCGGTCAGTCGTAGGTCGAGGGGCTGCGTTGCCACTATGGCAAGATAGGGTAGAGAAGGCATGAACGAATAGATCCGAGAGAGCAACAGCGGCAAGTGTCAACTGTCTCCATTTCACCCACTTTCCCATGGGGGGTTGCCGCCACTTTCTCGGCGTCATCGTCTTTCTTTCTGTCTGTGGCCGCCAAGGAGTAAAGTCCGACTGGACCAGTATATCAGTCTTAGTAATTGTGATCAATAGCTGTGTCCAAAAGCTGTGTCCAAGAGCCCAAAGGAAAGATCTATTTTGTGGGCTACTAAGCCAAAAACAGAAGGTGAGCAGAATTAAAACGAAAGTGCTGGCGGATTTATACAAGTATTGGTGGTCTATAGGCAGCAGCTTGCATCGCTCGACGGCTCCAGGGAGGAGAGGGGCAAGCAAGACAAAGCGGACCGACTCCGGCGCAGCGTGTCATAAGGAAGTTAACGCGTCCAAACGAGCATCGCCCTCATCGCCCAGCGCAGCAGCGAAACCCGAGGGAAAGAAAAAAATTAACCCTTTTTCGGCAGCAAGCTAGAGTTCCCGTAGGCGATAAAGACCTTGGTCCCCAGCTAGAGAGCAGCCAGCCAGAAAAATCAGAAAAAAAAAGAAGGCAGGCCAGCTCCAATCGGCGATCCGACCGCGAGCGAGCTTTCCGCTCCAGAATCGGCATAGGCCCAGGTCTCGGCGAAGCCGAGATAGTTAGTGCGTTTTGGTGAATACGGGCGTTTGATGTCGCCGCGGAATTGAGCCATGATTTGTCGGTTGGCGATCGCAGACAATTAAAAAGGAAAAAAAAGGGAAAACTTCCTGCGTCGAACCAGGCGCCTTAAAACTCGCGACAAAAATTAGTTTAGTGCTTAATGTAGAGAGAATTAATAAGTTAGGTTAAACAAGAAGTGCAGAAAAAAAAACAACA